CTAACCGGCCAACCCGCATCTTCACCACTTCAACACACAACCTCTGCCTACACTCAACCCTTCTCAACACCGCGGCACCATCTCCCTCCCTCCTCATTCTTATATCGTAAACCACCGCACTCCACTATCTTCGTGAGAGAGCTGCATCCGAGAGCAAGGGAGGAGGGAACGCGAGCTGCAATTTTTTTTTCTGTTCTGTCCGCGAGCTGAGGGAAGAGACCAGGAGACCATCGTACTTTTCCTTCTCCTAGCTGTGGCCATTTCCAACTTCAACCAAGCCACATTGCATCAGTCCCAGTTGCAGCTTCAACAGGAACCAAATCTGTACGTGAGAGCCGAGGGGAAAGAAGAAATTTCAGATTTCTTGTGCGTAGGCTTAGCTTGTAACTGAGGTAATTTCTGGGCTAATTAAGTGAATTACTAGTAGATGAAGCCATATCAGAGCTTGCATGTGTTGCTTGTGCTGTCGGTTGATGAAATCAAGTCACTAGAAAAATTCTGTTTTGGTTAAATGGTTCTGCCGAGAAGCTGAGATGGAAATGCAACTCTTGATTTATTTACCTGTGACAATCTGAGTGTAATTATGTGTTTATCTAATCCAAAATCAAGAAGATTAAGCCAACTAGGAGCATGCATGTTGATTTTAGGCATCCGGATTAATGTTTTAGGAAAAGAAATTCTTTTATGCGCAAGTTATGGAAATAGCCGAGAATCTGACTTGATAATGTAGCTTAAATCTGGTTAATTGGTGTAAGCCGAGCTTATTGTGGTGATTAGATAGTTAATAACAAGTTAATTAGGCTCTGTATGTAGTTAATTAATTGGTTTAAACCAGAAAAAAATAAAATCAAAATGCAACCTGCCACATGCAAGTTCACCCGAGCCAAGATGGAATTTTTTTTTGAAATGTTGGATTAAACCTGCTTCCTTGTGATAATCCAGAACTGTTATTATGTTTAGCTAACTAAAGCTTGGATGATTAATGTGGTTAGAGCCTTGCATGATAATTTTATGCATTCGGATGATGTATTAAGAAGCACAAGAAACTCTGTTTTGATGTATTATACCTGCCGAGAGCTTGTCTTGATTCATACAGCTCCATTTGGTTTAATTTTGTTGCTTTGAGCCTATAACCATAATTAACCAGTTAATAACAAGATAATGGGGCTTTGCATAAAGTTAATTTGTTGAGTTAGTACAGAAAATAAAAACAAAAATGCAATCAGTTTCATGCAGCTGAAACCGCGGCTAGCCAGAAATTTCTGGAAATTTTGGAGGACCTTTATCGTTAATCGAACCAAATTTCTGTGATAGATATGGTAATTAACTAGCTAAGTGATGGCATGTCGAATTGAGCACCTAATACTCTGTTTTAGCCAAGAAAATATTGGATTTATGAACAATGAAGTGCTGGAAAATATTGATAGCCGAATGGTTTGTTTTTGGAAATTTTATTGTGGTAGTAAAAGGTTGAGTTGGAATTCCAGTTTGGTTGTGAAGTTATTCTTTGAAACATAATGATTAGAAATGCCTGGAATAAATTGTTTTAAAGCTTTATAAGATATATGGATGTGAAACTCTTGATGTCTTGGGAGATTGAATTGGAAATAGTGAAGTGTAGCGGTGGATATAAGCTGGAAAATTTTCCAGCCTTAACCAAGTTTGATAAGGAATTATTTTTCTTTGATGAAGGTTACTTGGTTGATAACCACTTGTGACTTAGTCGATGGGATTCCTCGATTCCAAATACCTGTGGGTAAATTTAAATATTTGAAATGTTAGCTTTATTGCTATAAAAGCGAATTGTGGGATGCTAAGGGCTAGTGATTGAAGAAGCCCTTAGCCACTTGAATGATTTTTAAGTATTAAAGGGTGATGAAATTTAATTGCTGGAATTTTTTTGAGGCCTTACCTTCATTTTTATTTAGTTAAAATGTGATATGAGCTTGCCAAAAATCAAGTGCTAATGATGGACGAAGCCTTGGTCTTTTGTTTAATTCTTGATCAGCAATGAATCTATTAAAACCTAGGGCTAATGATTGACGAAGCCCTAGTGAGATTTCTATTTGAAATGAGAGTTGGTTATATTGACAATCTGAAATATTACGTGCTTGCCAATCGGAATCCGTTTTGGTCCTGTGAACTTGAGAAGTTTTAAGCAAGCTATTTAGATATATCTTCACTCTAGTATGGTACGATAAAGCTTAGTATTATATGTTAAAGTTAGAAGTTTCGTGTAGAGAGTTTCTAAACCTTGCCGACTCGATATTTCCTCCTTTAAGCGTAAACTAGCCTTATTACTTTTAGAAAATGATTTCACTAGTTTTAAAACCCTAAGTCTTGATCTATTTCCTTTTCTTTCCTTAAAATTGTCCCTGGCTGATTGTCTAGAGGAAAATTTCCAAAATACAAGATTTTAGTGACTTTAACTAAAAATAGCAGAAAACTTCCTCGGCAAGAAAATTTATTCTAAATAAAATAGTACCAGCCGCACTCGTATAAAGAAAAATATTTTTAAGGAAGCCATACAAAACATTTCCTACTTTTACTAAATTCCAATCCTAAGTGAATGGTCGAATTATTTCAAGAAAATAATACGAGTTACCCCTTTAAAAGGAAAAGTATCTCAAGGAAAAACTATTAGAAACATTTTTACTACTTTTGTCAAGTTTCATCCTAAGTAGATTTTTGAAATTACTTGAGAAAGTAAACTAGTAATATATTAGATAATTCCTTATACTAATAAGCTTAAAAAAAAATTGAATAGAAAACTTATAGTTTTAAAATTTGGTATTTTAGGGTTTAGCGAGGACGCAGACTTTGATTCCCAGCTTGATCAGTAACTTCACTCTTGGTGAGTGTCCCTGCTTGTTCTATTCCTACGTGATTTAAAGTGCTTTCTTGACTTGGAAATGTGGTACTTGCAAAAGTGATTTCTGATCCATCGAAGTGAGCAGTGTGTACTTTATCGCACTAGCCTTTCGAGTGGTGACTTGCGTGAATCATTTTTTTTTTTTGAATCTAAACGTAGTTGCGTCGTTGGGTGAATCCCTCGACTCCTGAATCCAACTACAGTCACTCTGGAATCCAACTGCAGTCATGTCGTTGGGTGAATCCCTCGACGCATGAATCTAACTGCAATAACGTCGTTGGGTGAATCCCTCGACCAATTTTCTAAGGGTATGTCTCGAGCATACTGCTTCCTTAGTCGGTGTTTGGGCCCGGGACAGGGATAAGAGCGGTGACGGGTTAGGATTAAAATGAGTGGATCTACAGGGACTATAAGTAGTGAGAGTTGACGGAGGGTCAACTACGACGAATGGTGATCAAGCGAGGAAAATGGCTCCTGAGAGCCCCTGTATCCTACCTTGTGCTGTTATCTGCTTTTATTAAGTGTGAAATTGAAATATTCGTTACTTGCCTTTTGTGATTACATGTTTTGGGGCACCACTGAGCTTTAGCTCACCCCACGTTCATTTGTTTTCCTTACAGGTCTTGAAGTTTGAAAGAATTTGAGCTGCTTATATTTCCTATGAATGTACTTGAACAACTTGAATCTAAATTTCGGTTTGTAATGACTCCTAAGTTAAGCATTGTACCTTTCATCTTGGATTGCCACTTGAAGCTGGAAAAGTGTAATCCCTAATTCTGATATTCGGTATGTATGTTGTATTGGTGTGATCTGGCTTTAACCCTTGTGGGTAACGCGTGAAGTGTTTAAGAGCTGTCGTTTGGTTAAGTTTGTATGCTGTTATCTTTGAAGTTAATGTGGTGATAGAAATCGATTTATTTCGGAAGAATTATTTTTGTAATAGTTTAGGTTAATCGTCGGAAGGTTTTGGGTTAGAATGCTTGCGTGAGTCCTGGCGAGAGCTGGGCAGACGGCCCGCCAACCCTCTGGTTCGCCTTAGGGGGAAGTGGGGTCGTAACAGGTGGTATCAGAGCCTAGGTTAGAAAAGTTATCTGAGAGATATATTAGACGAGTTAGAAACCCTAATCCTTTTCAGAAGTAAGAACTGAGACCCTTAGATATAGCTTAAGTAATATCCGATTCAGTTAGTTATTTAAGTTCTAACCTTTAAGTTTTAATTATTTTGTAGGTATGGAGAATGGTAATGGACATGCTAATGGTAATGGAGCGTCTAATGGACATATAGAGTCTCTTAGGTCCATCTCATATAGGCCACGAGGCGGAGGAGCTCATATACGCTACTCCCCAGCTGATCGGCATCCTCGGTGTCAGTGTAGGGCCACCCATGCCTACCCCAATGAGCTAGTACTATCCCTAGATGATGAGCGTTGCCAGTTGAGGGACGCTAAACTTACTTTGACTCAGGATGTAGAGGAGCTGAGTATCATGGTGGACACTCAGTTCGACCGTATAGCTGAGTTAGAGCAGAGGGTAGCAGCGGAGCATGCTAGGCTGGAGGCTGCTCGCGTAGAGATAGCGCGTCAGAGATCGAGAGTGACTCGATTGGCCGAGAGGATACGTGATAGGAGTGCCGGTATCAGGGCTGATGCCGCGATGATGATAGATGAGGCCACGAGTATCCTTCAGGGTGTCGAGCAGGAGGACCCGGAAGAGGATCCGGAGGATGATCCAGAGGAGGACCCGGAGGAGGACGTAGCTCCTGATAGCCCTGCTGAGGGTTAGGCTGGGATCGATTTGACCATACTAGATATGTAGGGTTAGAATAGGGGGACCTTAGCTAGGTCATCAAGTTTTGTCTAGGTGGATGACTTGCTTCCAAGGCACATATCCCTAATTTTTGTTTAAGGGATTATTTGTATGTATTTTGCTAGCTCTTGTGCCTTATTTTTGGAAAATGTCCCAACCTGCTATCTGTATGACTTTCACGCATGAATATATGTTAAATGCTTTATTTTCTTTTCCCTCCATTTCTAAGTTGATTTCTAGCTACAAAGGGAAGAATAACAGTTATAAATAAACAATCAACTTCCCTAATTGCCCTACCTTTTATAATAGGCATAACTAAGCTATGGATCGTCAAGTGATAGGAAGGAGCCGTGGGAGACCCACTAGACAACACCCGGAAGCGGGTGGTGATAGGGAACCCGAGGTCAATCAAGACCAAGGGCAAGAAGGTGTGGCCGGAGACCAAGTGGCCACCGCAATCAATCGTATCACTGATGTCTTAGAGCGCTTGACTGAACACCAAGCCTCTGGACCAGTGCATCACCAAGGAGGTCCAGCCGATTCCGATGATCGGGCACTGGAGAGGTTTCTGAAGTTCGGACCTCCCAAATTTTATGGAGGACCTGAACCGGAGGTAGCTGAAGGATGGTGGGAGAGAATCTCCGATATCTTTGCAGCTTTAAACTATACGGAAGAGCGACAAGTAACTTTTGCCGCATTCCAGTTTGAGGGAGCCGCTCGCTCCTGGTGGAACCTGGTGAGGGTTACCTGGGACACGAACCATACTCCAAGGACTTGGGCGAACTTCACAAGGGAGTTCCATGCCAAATTCCTTCCACCTCTCGTTCAAGAGAAGAGAGAGGACGACTTCATAAAATGTAAGCAAGGGGCGATGAGTGTCACCGAATATGAGGTTCAATTTACGAAGCTGTCCCGCTTTGCTCCTGAATTGATAGCCACGGAGCAAAGGCGTATCAGAAGGTTCGTGCAGGGGCTGAATGTGGAAATACAGGAAGGTTTAGCTGCCGTGAGGATAGACACTTTCGCAGATGCCGTCGAGAGAGCCCAGAGAGTTGAAGTAGCTAGAGCCCAAGTGAAATCTTTTCAGGCCAAGAAAAGATTTGCTCCTAGCAGTAGTCGGGAGCCGGCATCTGGAAATGCTCCACCGGCCAAAATGGGCCGAGGAACCAGTGGAGTGACTAGTCCTGGAGCACCACGAGGCGCTCAAGCAAGAGGAATCGGGGCAAGGAATGCCGGGGGAAGAAATAATGGAGCTAGAGGAGGATCGAATGGAAGGGGACAACCTAAGAATACCTCACTAGGAGGCCGAGCAATAATTCCCCAAATGACTTGTGCCTACTGCAAGAAACCTGGTCATACTATGGATGGCTGCTGGAAGAAGCAAGGAAGGTGCTTGAGATGTGGTAGTAGCGAGCACCAAATTTCAGGATGTCCAAAAATGCAGGAAGGGACTACCCCAAACGCTAGACCAAACACTTCTGGAGGAAGCCGGCCGACAGTTCCTGCTAGAGTGTATGCTATAGATGACCAACCCGTACCTGATTCCTCGGAAGTTGTGGAAGGTACACTCCCGATTTTTCACCGATTAGCTAAAGTGTTAATTGACCCTGGTGCAACCCATTCATTCGTAAATCCATCTTTTATGTCTGGAATAGATGTGAAACCTGTTAGATTACCCTTCGATCTTGAAGTTAGGACACCTATGGGTAATAAGAATGTAATCACTAGCTTGGCTTATAAGAATTGTGAATTCTGGATTGGAGAGCGTAAGATGCTAGTGGATCTGATCAGTCTGGACATAAAAGGTTACGATGTTATAATAGGAATGGATTTTCTAGGCCATTATCATGCTAAACTTGACTGCCGAGTAAAAGTGGTGGAATTTTGTATACCTGGAGAAGCAATCCTGAGGTTAGATGTTAAGGGTAGGTTAGCATCATCTGCTATGATCTCAGGAATTCGGGCAAGGAAAATGTTGTCTAAAGGAGCGCAAGGTTTCTTAGCCTTCTTGATTAACGCTCCCAGTGATCAAGTGAAGTTGGAGGATGTACCAGTGGTACGGGAATTTCCGGACGTTTTTCCCGAAGAGCTAAAGACTCTACCGCCGGAAAGAGAAGTGGAATTTAAGATTGACTTGATGCCTGGAACGGCTCCAATTTCTAAGACCCCGTATCGAATGGCTCCTGCCGAGCTAAAAGAATTGAAAATTCAATTACAGGACCTGTTGGAGAAAGGTTTTGTGAAGGAGAGCGATTCACCATGGGGAGCACCCGTCCTATTCGTTAAGAAAAAGGATGGAAGCTTGAGGTTATGTATCGATTACCGAGGGTTAAATGAGGTTACAATTAAGAATAAATACCCTCTACCGTTGATTGATAGCTTGTTCGACCAACTGCAAGGATCAGTGGTCTTCTCTAAGTTGGATTTAAGGCAAGGGTACTATCAGTTGAAGATTAAGAGGGAAGATATACCCAAGACTGCTTTTAGTACAAGATATGGACATTTTGAGTTCGCAGTCATGCCTTTTGGACTAACCAACGCACCAGCTGCTTTCATGGACCTGATGCAGAGAATTTTTAAGAAGTATCTGGACCAGTTTGTAGTGGTTTTCATAGATGATATCCTGATTTACTCCAAGACTAGAGAGGAGCATGCTAAACACTTAGAGGTGGTTTTGCAGATACTAAGAGAACATAAGCTGTATGCCAAATTCAGTAAGTGTGAGTTTTGGCTGACTGAAATATCTTTTCTAGGGCACAGAGTTTCTGAAGATGGAATTGCCGTGGATCCGGCAAAAGTTGAGGCCGTTATGAATTGGAAACAGCCAGAGACTCCAATTGAAGTTAGAAGTTTCTTGGGTTTAGCAGGTTATTATAGGCGGTTTATCCAGGATTTCTCGAAAATTGCAGGACCTATGACTGAGCTAACCAAGAAAGGGACTAAGTTTATTTGGACTCCGAAGTGCGAGTCAAGTTTTCAGGAACAAAAGAAGCGTTTAACATCCGCTCCTGTTTTGGTATTACCTGATGGAGGAGAAGGTTATGCCGTATACTCTGATGCTTCTGTCGCACCCCAGTTTTTGAGATGGTGTGAAAGTAGTGTGTGGAATATGTATGTGAATGTGTGTGAAAATGAAAATAAAAGACCGTGGGACTTGAAAATGCGACGATTTGGCCAAACAGAGTTCAAAAAGGGTTTTTTGCATGGAAAATGGAGTCGCCACTTGGTATAGAGTTAGGGTGTACCAAGTCACCCAAAAAGTGATTTTTTGGAAAGTAAAACCCTTTTAAAAGAACCTTTAGGTCTACGTAACCAAAGAAAGGGATCGGGGGTCACGTTTGATAAGGGAGAAGGCAAAGGCAAAGCCTAAGGCACTCCCTTACCCTAGCTAAAGCTAGTTGCGTGACTTAGCCCTCATTTTCCTAATTTTTCTACCCAAAGTATGTGTTGCATGTTGGATACAACTAATGGATGCGAGAAAGAAATGCAATCCTAAATCTAAAATGTCTCGTATGAGGCTTTTTGGTCCCAATCACATGAATTGTGATGGCCAGTAAGGAAAGCCCTCATAGAGGTCACGGGCAATGCAAATGAAGACTCAAATATGCGTGTAAGTGTGCAAATGTAAGAAAAGTGCAAGTGTGCCAATTGTGAAAATAAAGGTGTTTGTGTGCTAGTGGATGAAAATATAATAGTAGATACATATAAGTGCAATTGGGTGCAATTTTTGAGGTAGAAAAACAAGTGACAAGAAGAAAAATGTGTGAACATGGAATTTGTATTGAGAAGGATATAAGTAGTGAGAAAATGTGGATAAGAGGGTGAGGGAGTGACATGATGAGAATGAAAGTGCATGAACCTAGGGGTATGCATCAAGTCGGGTACGGGAATGACTCCTAATTTCATGACTTTAATTTTCCCTTTGATTAGAAGGAAGAACTAGCGTGCTAAGGCTATTTTGTAGCCACACTCGCTCGTTTCCCTTATCTAAAGGGGACCCTCAAGCAAATGTACTCTATAACTAGCATGAAAATGCAAAAGCCTAAAATGAAGGGGAAAGGATTGGAGGAGCATGCCAAATGCTAGAAAACTAAGAAAAATGCATGAAATGTAGTGAAACATGCAAGTATGAACTAGCGAGAGGAATTCCTAAGGGTCTAGCGTTGGACTAGCCCATATCTATGAATTCCTACTAGCGTTGGACTAGTGGAAAACGGGACAATGAACCACAACTAGCGTTGGACTAGAGTGGCGACGTGCATTCATCCATCATATTCATCTATGACTATAGAAAGCAAGTAGACATGCCAATCACATATAAACACATAGCACATAACACTTAGCATGCTCGACTAGATGCAAGAGCCTAATAAAGCGAATTAACACGTAGCAACAAAAGCAAGCAATCAAGCTAATGAACCTATTACATTTGCTCACTAAAACAAAAGGGGAAGGGGAAAAATGGACAAAATTGCTCTCCAAGCCCTACTATTACAAGCCAAGAGGTGTACACATACCCCATAAAAGAATAACTTAATAAAAGCAAAAGTAAATGAAATAAATGAAAGGAATTAAGGAAAAGCAACGAAAGCAAAGTAGACATGCAATTCTCACTTAGCACGTTGGATCACATAGGAGAGACAAAAAGGGATAAAAGAAACTATACCTCCCCATTCATGATGTTAGTAGCGTAAGCAGGACTCAATTTGGACTAGAGTCACCAAAGAAAAGGTTAACTTGGGCTAAAACCATCAAAGCAAAGGATTAATGCACCAATTTAGTGGTAAAATGTAAATAAATCAATTTGAATCCACCAAATCATCGAATCCTTTTTCAATTGCAACTTGAAAATGATCGAATAATGCATTATTTCCAAGCAAGAGCGGATCACTAATCAAATTTCCAAAATAGCAAAATGACTAAGGACCCAATTGCAAACATTAATCAAGCACTCAAACCAAATTAAAACATTTTAAGAACTTCAAAGGTGCAAGAGTAAAGAAGGGGTCAAGTAATGGTTCAAATTGCAATTTCCTTAGGATCTAATTGCAAGCAATTAAAACATAATTGGGCCATAGTAACATTATGGGAAACTTGGGGGGCTGAAGTGCAATTTTTGGAAGTTATTTCATGCATCCTACGAAGCTTCCTTCTGCAATTCCGATTTCACAATAGCAGCTCTCAGATTGCAATCTCAAATGCACGACTACCACTTCAATCAAACCCAACTGGAATCAAAGCAACAAGATTACTGCATATTCCTCTCACTTTTCAACATAAAAACTTTTAGATTTAAACACAAAAAATCAAAAGAAAAGAGCATGCAAATCTGGCCACTTTCGGCAACTTCTGATGTTTTTGGGACTTCAGCAATCTCACGCGACAAAATCTAGCAACAAGGCTCTAAGCTCCAAGTTCTCATTCAACGCCATAAACTTATCATCAAGATATCATACAAGGGGAAGGAAAATCTGGAATGGGAAAGGCTTGCAAGTTCCAAGTTCATTTAAAAGAAGATTTCCCCACAGGCAACAGATCATGCAAACCAGTCTCCAAACTAATGAAAATCATGCAACTTATGCCTTTTATTTTCTCAACCAAGCACTAAATACACACAAGAACAGGCAACAGCAAAAGGCAGCAAACCCATGAAGCATTGATGTGTTTCTGAGTTCATTCTCAGCAAGCATCGCACGAATTAAGCAAGCAAAGCAACTAACCATATCATGAACTCCAACCAAACTTGCTAATGATGTACCAAGATAGACTTCCTATGTTTTCTTGCCCAAAACCCAAGTTTAAACAGAACCCAACTCTAGATCTACGCATGCCAAAAAAAATTCAGAATAAAAAGCATGCAAAGCTGGAAACTTTCTGCAACTTTCTCATTCAGCCGAAACATATTCATGCGAGATAACTCAAACGAGACCTACTGATCCATTACCCAAACCCCAAATGTTAAAACTTCACCAGCATTGTTAACATCACCCAAATACAGCCGCTTATTGTCAGCGGCTCCAACATGCGTCTGAATATGAAAAATGCAGCAGAGCCATAAAGAAAGAAACTTGCGGTAAATTCATGCATATGATATACCAATCGACCAACAAACAAACACAAACTACAGCCTAGGAACAGATTCTAGGAAAAGCACCAAACAGATTCTAGGGAGACTAAGCAGGCACCAACATACCTAAAATGCAAATAAACAGCAAAAGGAAACAGCTTTGGAAGTGTTTTTCCAGCAAAGTTTGACGGTAACGGTGGCGACTGATTCACGCGAGTGATGGCAGCTCCAGATCCTCCTCCGTTCCTTGGCTTTTTTTTTCGCTACTGGTTCCAGTCTTTCTCTCCTCCGCAACTATCTTTTCTTGTTCCTTGTTTCTTGTTTTTTCTCAGATTTTCCCTCTCTCGTTCTGGTTTTTTCTCTGGTTTTCTACCCTCAACTTTTTCACTCAGCCGTCAACTCTTTCTTCCTCTCCTGCCCTAGTTCTCTCTCACTCTCTCTTATCTCTCGGCCTCCTGTCCTTTCTAGCCGTCAACCTTTCTCCTCAACCCCAGCCGTCATTCGATGCCCCCTTCTTCTTTGCTCTCTCCTCTGTTTCCCACTTGCTCAGTTTTTCTTTCCGCCGCCAACTCCAAAACCTCTCTCTCGGCTGCGGTTCCTTTTTCCAGCTTTTATATCAAGTTCATAACCCTAAAACCCTGCTCTCAATGGCCAGCAATCAATCTCCTCTCAAAACCTTTTCCTTGGCCATCCGATGTATCCGACAAAATCCCATGAAAAAGACAATACTTTCCTACGCTGCTGCATGTGCGAGTATTTTTTTTTTTTTTTGGTAATAATAAAAATAAGTAAAAACAACAACAATTTAATTAACATCGGATAAAAATAAATAAACTAAACAGCAAAGTTGCAATTTTCATTTTTCTTTTCTTTTTCCTTCATTTCTCATTTTTCATTTTTTCATTTTCGTATTTCTTTTTCCAAGAAAACATTGAATTTAAATCAAGACAACTAAAACATAATTTTTGGAATGCTTTTCCTTTTTTTTTTCAAGAAATTCTATGTTTAAACTTAAAAATAAAAATAAAAAAATAAAAAAAAACTAAAAAACTAAAAACTAAAAAGTGAATAAAACTAACACGACAAATAAAAATTAAGACAAAATAATAAATGCAAATTACACTAAAATTTTGGTGTCTACAGTTTGCCCCTCTTTGTCTGAGTTTTGGAAAAACTTGAGACAAAGAAGTAGACACCAAATACTTACCTGTGTTATTTGGCTGTGAACGACTCGAACGATGGGGACTGACCCCTTTTGATGAGATTGACTGGGACGAGAAATTTATAATGGACTGATCTGAACAAGAAATTTAAAACGGGACTGACCCGAACAAGAATTTAAAACGGGACTGGCCCGAACAGGAATTTAAAACGGGACTGACCCGAACAAGAATTTAAAAAGGGACTGACCCGAACAAGAATTTTAAAACGGGACTGACCCGAACAAGAATTTTAAAACAGGATTGACCCGAACAGGAAATTTAAAACGGGATTGACCCGAACAAGAAATTTAAATGGGATAGACCCACGGGATAGACCTGGACAGAAATGTAAACGGGATAGACCCGGACAGAGATGTAAATGGGATAGACCCAGACAGAAATGTAAATGGGATAGACCCAGACAGAAATGTAAATGGGATAGACCCACGGGATAGACCCGGACAGAAATGTAAATGGGATAGACCCAGACAGAAATGTAAATGGGATAGACCCACGGGATAGACCCGGACAGAAATGTAAATGGGATAGACCCACCGGACAGAAATGTAAATGGGATAGACCCGGACAGAAATGTAAATGGGATAGACCCACGGGATAGACCCGGACAGAAATGTAAAAGGGATAGACCCGGACAGAAATTTAAAACGGGACTGACCCGGACAGAAATTTAAAACGGGACTGACCCGAACAGAAAATTTAAAACGGGACTGACCCGAACAAGAAATTTAAAACGAGACTGACCCGAACAAGAAATTTAAAACGGGACTGACCCGAATAGGAAATTTAAAACGGGACTGATCCGAACAGGAATTTAAAACGGGACTGACCCGAACAAGAATTTAAAACGGGACTGACCCGAACAAGAAATTTAAAACGGGACTGACCCGAACAGGAAATTTAAAACGGGACTGACCCGAACAGCAAATTTAAAACGGGACTGACCCGAACAAAATTTAAAATCATGGTGCACACTAGTGGGACTGACCCACGGCTAGTGGCGATGAAAATGAAATGCACACTAGTGGGACTGACCCACGAAACGTGCACTAGTGGGACTGACCCACGGCTAGTGGCAATGTAAAATGAAATGCGCACTAGTGGGACTGACCCACGGCTAGTGGCGAATGAGAATGAAATGCGCACTAGTGGGACTGACCCACGGCTAGCGGCGATGAAAAATGAAATGCACATTAGTGGGACTGACCCACGGCTAGCGGCGATGAAAAATGAAATGCACACTAGTGGGACTGACCCACGGCTAGTGGCGAATGAGAATGAAATGCGCACTAGTGGGACTGACCCACGGCTAGCGGAGATGAAAAATGAAATGCACACTAGTGGGA